CAGACACTGCATCAGGGCACAGAGCGCAACACAGGGCTCAGACACTGCATCAGGGCACGGAGCGCAACACAGGGCCTAGACACTGCATCAGGGCACAGAGCACAACACAGGGCTTATTTAGCTATAGTTTAAAGAGATGGAATGATTAAAAAAGAACGTGTTTCACCCTCAGTCCAGTAAACCTCTGGAGAAGCACTAACCTTCCTTCCATCTTCCCCAGGAGTGCCGTCCTCGCCCTGCACACAGACACACGTGTTACACAGGACAAACAACACGCAGCCTCCTGAGACTGTCCCGAGTCAGAGGGCACAGAGTTCCCTTGTTCCCAAGGTCCACAGCCCAGCTATCTCACAGCTCACTAGTGGTGCTGGTCCCAGTCTACTGGAACCCAAGTGCTGGTGATGATGTCTGAGGGGTGTAGGAACGTGACTCCTGTGTCTTTGTTGGTCAGGCTTAAGGCCAGACACACAGACTTGGAAAGGACAGGGTAGGAGCATCAGGGCACAAACTGGACCTCTTTTCCTGCCTCCGAGTGCACACATGGGCTTGACACTGAGATGTCTGCATGTACTGTATGAGCAATAAACATCAAACACCTAAATATAACCTCTTTGAATGAAAATATATATTTATGAAGATGGGCAGGTCTGGGTTCAGGTCTGGGGCTGCTGGGCGCTGGTGCCACTCACACACCTGCACATCCTGCTGTGCCCAGAACCAGCCTCCAGACTTTCTTAATGAAAACCCCAGAGAGGCGCGAGTTGAACTGACTCATACGCTACAGCAAGAAGCAGCCCGTCAGTGGTGCTGCCCTGGAAAAGGTACGAGGAACATGCTGACAGCTAGGAAACAAGAGCTACAGCTGTGCCAGACTGTCTTTCCTGTTTCCTATGTGACACACCCCAAGATGTTGTGTTTCTTTTCTTCTCTTTTCAGCAGGGAACAAACCTTTACTTTACAGCAGGGAATAAACCTTTACTTTACAGTCTGTGCACACTGATACAGCTCCTGCTTGAACTACTGTCTTTCCTGGTGCTGTTTAACAGCTGAAGCAGCGACACAGAAGAATGGACAGGCCACCGCGGCCTCATGCTATATGTGTTGCCTAATAAACTGGGTTTATCAGAGAGCAGAATTTATTCCAAATTTGGCAAAAGAAGGTGCACCACTGATCCAGGACTGGTGCTGGAACAAGAGGCATTAATTCAAAGCAATAGAGAAGACCAGGAATCTGGAATAGAACAGGGATCTGGAGTAGAACAGGGGTCTGTAGCTCAGTAGATCAGGAGTCTGAGACTGAGACTGGATCTGCCTTTTGGGAAACTAGGGGAGTAATCAGGGCTCAGCAGAAATCACCCCTGCCTCCATGACAACAGGACACAATCAAAAGGGTGAAGGAACAGGAGCTGTGAGACTCACATTCTTCCCAGGCTGTCCAGGCTTCCCATCCTCACCCAGTTTTCCCTGGAAACATAACAAGAATAAAGATTAACCGAAGAGAAGCAGGAGATGTGTTTTGTCCTTCATTGTAAGAACATAAGAAAAAAAGAAGAATCAATCTTGCCAGTTCAGAAATTTGTACTTAATTGAGCCGAGGAAAATAAAGTAAAAAAATAACTTTGTATTTGATACATTTTTTAAACTGCATGTGTTTCCCTAGCTGGGAAGGGCCAGTGTCCCAGCAGACGACACCAGGTTCCCTGCTGGTGACAGGTGGAGATGAGCAGGCAGCTGTGTGGGTCACAGCTCAGGAGTGATCAGGGGTACCAGGGATTAACAAGGGTGTCCAGCCAGCTATACTCACAGGTGAGCCCTGACTCCCAGGGGGCCCCGCAGGCCCAGGAGGTCCCTGCTCCCCCCGCAGTCCTGGGAGACCCTGAAAGAGAGTGAACATGCTCAGATCAAAGTTCACAGACACAAACTTTCAGACAGCGATTATCATGTTACTGATTGACAGCTCCAGTCAGCTCCGGGCCTCAGGAGCTGCAGGAGCTCAGGAGCTATAGGAGCTGCAGGAGCTGAGGAGCTGGGGGTCTGTGCTCCCCTTAGCCCTCCACCCCCTGGCTGTCAGGGATGGACAGTAACGTCAGAGAAAGCCAGAGGGAACTCCACTCACATCCCGACCAGGGTCCCCCTGCTTCCCCGGATCTCCCTGGAAAGAGAAAGAGAGGTCAGGACTGTTCAGTCTGCTGTGCCGTAGTGACCGCTCACTCTGGTCACAGTGCACTGTACTTACCCTCAGGCCTGCGGGTCCCAGAGAGCCTGGCTTGCCGTCCAGTCCATTGCGCCCATCCAGGCCTGGAGGCCCGCGATCTCCCTGCAGAGACACACACACTGAGCACCTGATCACACTCTCATACACACCGGCAGACTGGCGTGGGCCGGCCTCAGTCTCATCCACAGTGTGGTCTGAGAAGGGCTGTCGCAGCCCCAGCAGAACGCCAGCCTGTCACATCTGTCACACCTGTCACAACGACAGGAACAGCCAGTTGCTCTCAGCAGGTGGCCTGCTGCAGGGATCCTGCGGCCCAGGACACTGCTGTGCAGGGTGGTGCTCAGTCAGGGGGCAGACTCGCTCCCCGGAAACAGATGGTGCACAACAGCCTGGCTGGCAGCTGCTGTTGCTCAGCGCCCGCCATGCTGTGCCTCATCCCACTGGGAATCTGCAGTCAGGGAACAGGATCCGGTGGAATGAAGGACAGCAGGAAGAGCCGATCAGCCAGCCAGTGTCGTGGCAGCTGCAGAGCACGCAGAGGGTGCACAGTCTGACGGCCTGCTGGCTCTGGTAGGACTGTAACCTCACGACAGGCAGACACAACACAAACAAACTGCAAATCCTTTAATCAAGTGTATCCTGCTTCCAGCACATGGTGCTAAGCTGTGCTCCCCTGTCTCATTGCACCTTCGCTAGGCTTTACCATAATCTTCAGTATGTAAACATATATAGATATGCATGAACACAGACAGGTCCTAATGCCCCAGTATAGTGATGGGGACACTATACTGTAAACAGGCGCCGTCTTTCGGATGAGACGTAAAACCGAGGTCCTGACTCTCTGTGGTCATTAAAAATCCGAGGGCATTTCTCGAAAAGAGTAGGGGTGTAACCCCGGCATCCTGGC